ATGTGAATGAATGAACGAAAAATATTCAAATCATTCAAACTCATTTCGCTAAAAGTGGTTTTTTTTTACAAACAAGTCTGTTCGTATTGTAATAGGAGCGCAGCAATACATGCATACATATGTACATATGTTTGTATATATTTGCATAGAAAAAATATTTTTGGACATTCATACAAAAAATTGTCATTTATTTCAATTCAATTTATATTCACTTTGTTTGAACATTGAAATGTCGACACATGTATCCGAACAGGTATTTACTCAAATTCAAAAAAATTTTAAGTCAAAATCATTCATTCGTTTTGTATATGAATAAGTCATAAGCCGTTTTGAATGAATTCATGCAGCCCTCTACTGTATATGTAATACGCTGAGGAATTTTTTGTCTAGACCATCAGATCTGCACCGTTCATTCGATTTTTAAAAATGAGGAGTCATGAACCAAAAATACAAGATCACCTAATCAAAGAAGCAAGAAAAAAGTATATTTCTGAGGGTTTTTGACATCTGCCTAAGAATGAAAACAAACAAAGAAAACGAAAAAGGCGCGGTGATTGAGTGCGATTAAATTGGTATTTATTATAAAATATACAAAGTGAAACTTGATGACAATTAGCAAAAAAAGTTCATAAAATATGGTTTTCATGATTGAAAGTGTTTTACAATCGCATATCATTACCACGGGTCGATTTTTCAATGCCAACGTTCTGGCCACAAACGTGCACCCACTTTTCACGCAAATTTACGCCTTTTGGCAAACCAAACATACGCACAAACTTGTTCCGATCACACAGCACTTTATTTTATATCATAAATATGTAATAAACCAAAATTTATAATTAAAATCGCTGCAGAAAACACATTCAATCGCTAAAAAATCACTACGAAGAGGTAGAAGACGATGTAAACAAACCCGAAAAACGTCAAAAACGCTCGAAAACTTTTTTCTGAAAATCGATTACAAATACAACGATGGCTGATTAGGTGATCTGTAGTCGTTGGCGTGATAAAAACATAGCAAGGTATAACCGTTCTCTCAATTTGTCGGCCATGATTTTTTTTTGAAGTTTGCCAACATTTTAAAATCATATAAAAGTGAAAATAAAAAATTGAAATTGTTCGAAATTGTTGTTGCTTGAGATTGAAAGTGAAAATGTGTGTGTGAGTTTGTGAGTAAATTTAAAAATTAAATTGTTTGGAAACGTCAAGAATCTTAAAAGTGACTCTCAGCGGTTCTACCTTACTATATTTGTATCATGGTCGTTGGTTCATGATGAGGAGTAGATATGCTTTAAGGTTTTACCTTTTTCGAAAAGAGTTGCCACTTGTTATAAAAATAAATTAAATTTTATTTCTTTACTACGTGCGGGAGGGTTGCCATCTGTTTAATAAATCAAATTCAATTTGAATTAAGGGCATTCGGCAATTGAAATACATATGTATCATCATATTGGTTTCAGACGCAAGAGGTTTAAAAAAGTAGTAGTTAAAGAATTTTCAAGAGGATTGACACCTGGGTTTCGACATTAAGCATTTTTTTTGGGGTGCTTGAATAGGGTTGCCACCTGTTGACAAATTTAAATTAAAATTATTTGAAAAGTTAAATGAATTATTAAAAGATGGTACCATCGAAATAGGTTTGAAAGGGATTTATTTCCGAACTGTAATGCAGCGTTTTTGCTGCATTTAAAATGCAACATTTAGCACTTTCGAACATATGTTTTCGAAGAGCGTTCATGCTATCGCATTTAGCAAATGTACATTTACGCGAGTTCGAAATCGTATGCTTTTGACAAACAGCCGTGTTCCAGTCGCTTATTCAGATCCGTATCTATTACGATAAATTATCACGGAAAAGATAATGTCCAAAAATCCCTACTGAAAAGGAAAAAATAAATTCTAAACCGAAAATTCAATACAAAAGCTTGAATTATTTTAACCATAACCAAACATTTGTTTGTGTATATATTCATTTGTCGGTGCTGTCAATTATAATTTTCACACTTAATTAGGAAACAAAACAAACAGAGTTGATCACAAATTAATCCAGATTTCTATCAGCATCATATCGATGTTTAATTTGCGTAACTTTTCTTTATCCAAATAATGTAAAATAATAAATGAAATCTCGATCGGCGATCACTGAAACGCAGCTAGCGACTGTATACTCGAAAAAGCAATGTTGCCACTTCTTCTCATTAAACCATGTTCGAATCGTGGAAATTTTGGAAGATCACAGGGTTGCTTTTAGCATTTAGATTCTAAATGCAAAAATGGAGTTGCATTTAGTTGCATTTAGGTGACGAATTTTGTATGGATAAATGTACATTTAGAGTAGCATTTAGAGCTAAATGCGCTAAATGTGCTTTTACGCGTAAGCAAAAACAGCCCATTAAGAATCTAAATGCTAAAAGCAACCCTGTAATCTTCCAAAATTTCCACGATTAGAACATGGTTTAATGAGAAAAAGTGACAACATTGCTTTTTCGCGTATACAGTGGCTAGCTGCGTTTCAGTGGTCGCCGATCGAGATTTCATTTATTATTTTACATTATTTTGATAGAGAAAAGTTACGCAAATTCACCATCGATGTGATGGTGATAGAAATCTGGATCAATTTGTGATCAACTCTGTTTGTTTTGTTTCTTAATTAAGTGAGGAAATTTTAATTGACAGCACCGACAAATAAATATATACACAAACAAATGTTCGGTTACGGTTAAAACAATTCAAGTTTTTGTATTGAATTTTTGGTTTCAAATTTATTTTTTTCCTTTTCAGTAGGGTTTTTTGCACATTATCTTCTGCGTGAGAATTGATCGCAATAGATACGGATCTGAATAAGCGACTGGAACACGGCTGTTTATCAAAAGCATACGATTTCGAACTCGCGTAAATGTACATTTGCTAAATGCGATAGCATGAACGCTCTTCGAAAACATATGTTCGAAAGTGCTAAATGTTGCATTTTAAATGCAGCAAAAACGCTGCTTAACGCTGTGGCAGCATTTTACAGTTTTGAATTAAGATTCCTAACACTCCTTCCTAAACTGTGGATAAAAGGTGCATAGGATGTCCATGTGAGTAAGGCTTATTATTGAAGACTGAGCCAAAAGGTTGTAAAAATATGAGGCGAGGAAACAAGTAAGGTATTACAAAAATGGACACCTCTGTTGGGAAAATCCCAGGTCCCAGTACCTAAGGCATAAAAACTCATTATAAAAAGATACTTTTCACCGAGCAGCACCGGATGGTGATTTAGGACTTTTAAAGGAACTAGAGCAGTTCAAATAGACTGACGAAGATTTTGCAGAGGCAGTGCATGGCAAACTTCGTACACATTTATGGTATCTTAACAAAGTTAACATTGCTTTGACATTCTTCGATGAAGAAGTGGATATTAACACAACTTGGGTGGTGGTGAAATCATATCACTGGGATTAGACCACTTTGTCTCTAATAATACAAACTTTTTTTAAAGCATCTTAAATAACAAAATTACCGGTGTTTATCATCCATGGGATGGAAAAATATTATAAGGGAGTTACTATGCTTGAAAAACCATTCTAAGACAACATTCCCAACAAAAGTATAGGCCATTCAACCTAATAAATATTCTATACTATGAGCTCCGTGTTTTCCATTTACTGAAAATGAGTTTTCGTAGACTTGCGTAAATGAAGATTTTTCTTAAGTTTTTATTTTCATATGCCTTATAATATCCCTAAATTGCAGTGTTTCTTAAAAGCGAAAACTGATGTAACAACTGCATTCGAATCTCCTTTAAATTATGTATATTATAAAAATTACACTGGTTTACAGCAAAAATGTTCTATAGATGCCACTGTCTAATTACTATGTAGCATTGCTCGGTGATTCCGAAAATCTAGATATTTTTTTATCTATGGATAACCTTTCTAGATATTTGCAATTTACCGTTAATCAGCTTAAAAAAGGAGTGGTTTCACTTAATCACGTATATCTTACGAACCAACTGAATAATCGTAATACGAGATACAACAAATCAAAGGTAATGAAATTCTCCATAAACCATATACATCACTTTTCCCCGATAGTTTCTGAGAAATTAATTAATCATTTTTGACACCTCTTGCTTTCGATGCAAACACTCGTCCTACACAGGTGTATGTTGCGTATGAGTAACACTCTTTTCTGCTCATATCTCATACAAAAAAAACCTTGCTCATTTTCATTTGACCAATCATTAATAATAATAATAATATATTGCGCTTATATGTACATATCGATGGCTGAGTGGAAGATCGACCTATCTCGGCAGCCAGTTCGAAAACGCTCTATCTCAAAAAACTTTTCAAGAACGCCCTATTTCAGAATTCGTTTCAAAAACACCCTATCTCAGCTGCTGATTCAAAAACGCCCTATATCAGCATATTTTCAATACATTTTGAAGTGAGATAGGGCGTTTTTGAACCGAATTTTGAGATAGGGTGTTTCTCAATTAAATTCTGAAATAGGGCGTTCTTGAAAAGTTTTTTGAGATAGAGCGCTTTCGAACTGGTTGCCGAGATAGGTCGATCTTCCACTCAGCCATCGATATGTTAGTGTTTGGCTGAGCTTCTCCTACGACTTGTGGCATGCGCCTTGATGTTGTCACACAAAGCGGAGAGACCTACAGTTTTACGCCGACTCCGAACGGCGATTGTATTTTGTGTTTTTCATGGCAGAAATACACTCGGAGGTTTGCCATTGCCTGCTGAGGGACGACCGCTGTTAGGAAAAAAACATTTTCTATATTTTTTGCGATGTTGCTTTGACCAGGGCTTGAACACAGGTTCTGATGAGCGAAAGCGCACACTGCTTACCACTACACCACAGCGGCCGACCAATCATTACCTTCTTATTTATCCATCGATTTTCCCCAGGGTAGCTAAATTTTTTTCGAAAGGAACAGGCTTTAACACAAGTGCAAAATATTTAAAAAGAAAATGTTGATTTTGAAATTTTTTCCCTTTTAGGCCCACTTGCAGAACAGCAGGTTATCTATTTAACTCGAAGTTTACCGGTTAAATTAATAAATTGGCTTGCACAACAGTAGGTTAGGCATTAACTCAGAGATAAAAACTTAAATATTTAACCCACAAAATTTTGAGGGTTAAATTGTTAAGTTAGTGTCAGTTCTGCCGAAAACTAGAAATACAAATAAAATTTAAATTCTTTAAATTGTGAAATATTTTATGTAAATAAATGAAAAGATGAACGAATTGGTGCATTCTGACGATGATGAGGAAATCATTGATTACGTCAACTCAGATTTCTATAATAGATCAACAGCGGAGCGAAGTGATCATTATAATGATCTGCGAGAGAAAGCATTCCACAGGAGATTTCGCTTGCAAAAGGAAAGCGTTATTTTCCTTTTAGACAAGCTTAAACCGTGGTTAGAATGCTCAAAGAGGTTGGTACTTCGGCTCAATTTATTCACATTAAACATAATACTGACTTGTTCCATAGCAATGCAATATCTCCTATGAACCAGTTACTATGTGCATTGCGATTCTATGCTACGGGTAGTCAACTCGTAACGTGTGGGGACTTCATTGGTGTCCATGAGTCTACTGCAAGCAGAATCGTGCATAAAGTTACTGATGCTATAGCACGTTTGTACCCAGAATTTATACGAATGCCGACAGAGGTAGAAGACATGAGGAAAGCTGCAGTGAAGTTCTATGAAATTGCTCGATTTCCGCGGGTCATTGGGGCTATAGATTGCACTCATGTCAGGATAAAGTCGCCAGGTATGTACATCCATATGTAGGTACAATTTATGTATTTGCAACTAGCAGGAGTAGAAACTTGTATACTTAAGTTTACTTCAATTTCAGGAGGGGAATATGCGGAAATATATAGGAATCGAAAGGGTTACTTTTCAGTAAACACCCAAGCAATCTGTTCTGCAGATTTATTGTTTACCGATGTCGTTGCAAGGTGGCATGGGTCTTCTCATGATTCTCACATTTGGGACAATTGTAATCAGCGCAGATATTTTGTTCAGGGAGCATATGGTGATTTCTGTTTGCTTGGAGATAGTGGTTATGCTCAAACCACATTTATGATGACTCCATTAGGAAATGTGAGTTCATCAGCGCAATCTCTGTACAATGAGTCACAGATAAGAAGTCGAAATACAATAGAGCGAACTTTTGGAGTTTGGAAAAGAAGATTTCCAATATTGTCCAGAGGAATCCAAGTGCACTGGAGCAGAGTACCTGGAATTATTATAGCTACTTGTGTTCTCCACAATATTGCTCGTCAACAAGCAGATCCGGATCCTGTTGTCGATGCTGAGTACCCTGCAATGATAGAAACTGTAGACAGCCGGAATGAAATACAAAATACCAACAGTTCTTCTAGAACCTCTCCAGGAAATCGGGCCTTATAGATCAATATTTTGGACGATTATGAATTTTATTGCTAAACAAACCCTCTGTTTCTCATATGTTGTTGAATAAACATATCCTTTAGTTTAACAAAAGAGAATTTGTTTTAATTTTTAGTTTACGGGTTTTCATTTAGTTTTTATTTTTGAACAGAGAAGCTTAAATGTAGTATATAAAGATTAATAGTTTCACTTGAATATTCACATAGTTTTTTCTTCAAGATTCGATCTTGTATCTGGACTTGTGAACATCGGACAGCCTTCATTTAAACTTCTTTTTACAAAGTTTGCCTATATTTTTCCAGCTCAAGACTTCTAATCGCCTCATTGTGCTCTAATTTCTTCTTCTTGTCCTCTATTTCCATTTGTCTCAATATCCGGTTATGTTCCCGCCTTTCTTGCTCATCGTATTCGTATCTTTTTTTCGCTTCTTCAATTTCCATTTTTCTTAATAGGCGGTTGTGTTCTAGTATTTCTTCCTTATCTTTTAATTCAATGTCTATAAGTTCTTTTTGGGCCGATACCAATGCAGTAGTAGCATACTCAAAAAATTCTAAAAAATCTGATTAAAAAGTTGAAAATTTGCATGAAAATTTATTGAATTTTCGCGAGTTTTGCACAAAGTTTAGAAATTATGTTTTTAGGTTTTTTGTTGTGGAATGAACCATATTTTTATAAAAAATTGTTGGAAAAATATTATAATACAAATTGGTGCATATGTTGTGCAAAATTCGCTGTACCAATACTTTTTGCCGGCACAAAGTTTGAAATATGAATTTAAATGGTTTTTGTTAGATAATGAACTATGTTTTTATAAAAAAATAATAAATATTAAATAAATAAAAGAAACATTTGTTAAAATGTCGTGTCCCTATTTATTTTTCCACCACTGTATATCTTTAAAGTGATAACATTCTTCATAGTGTTTCTTCATTTGCTGAAAGTATATACTATTAGCAGCAGATTTCAAAGTTGGAATAGGTATTAAAAATCAGTTAAACCACAGAAATTGCAGATAGAGGGTGTTCAATATAAGCCCTCGATCTGATAATTTTTCAGATGTGAACAAATAAAATCTTAGAAATGGTGCAATTAAACCTTACAAATATCTCGACGCTATCGTTTACTTACGTGCCAACAGAGGATGAGGATTCTTTTTTAAATTTGCCCTATCACTTGTGAAGTATTCTTCCTTTTCCTCTTTTTGTTTCGGTTCTTGTATGGGAAGTTCATCTGTATTAAAATTAATATATCACAAATCTTAAGATAATTAAGAAAAATCACCTTCAAAATTTAAATCTGCTTCGATAGGTATTATGCCCTCCTGAGCTTTGATGAGGCTGCTATCACCATCATAAATTGTATAGCAACCGTCAATGGCAGGTCCGACTAAACCCCTCACCTTATTAAAAAGGGGGTTGTCGACACACTTAGCCATCGGTCCTCCACCTGACATAAGAATATTATTTATTCGTAACTATACACAAAAGTATAGCATATTTAAGTATACATATAAAGAAAACCATGATAAAAACATAGCAAGGTAGAACCGTTCTCTCAATTTGTCGGCCATGATTTTTTTTT